ATAAGTTCAGGTCTAGTGAAATTGCGGTCAGGTCAAGTAAAATTTTCATGTACTAGTCCGACTGGTCTAGTTTATTTTAAAGTTAATGTTGAGCCCTGAGTTACAGACATGTTGTGATGAAATTTTATAGTATATCCATGCAGGGATCTACATTATTGGTTGTCCGATTGCCCGGGACAAGTAAATTATTAGTTTGGGCAAGTGAAATTGTCGACGTACTTGTCCGATCAGGCAAGTGAATTTTTTTCATACAAATGTACATATTTATTTAGGTTACATTAATTTATAAATAAAACAATAATTGAACACTTGATTTCCGCAACGTACCTGACTGACAATGTTTTTGCATTCCGAATCCCTTGCAAGCGTGCCTGGATTATACCGTTCATTCAAAAATCAGATTTGTTATTTTCTTTCGTAGTTAATATGCTCTACATCTAACAAAATTTTGCTAACTTCTTATTAGGAAATAAGATTATTTATTCACGCACAGAATATTTAAGTACAGTGTAACACGATGTATCCTGATCAAGTTAAGATGTATCTTTCATAGCAACTATGTTGCTTCACACTTATCTCTGAAAATCATGATTCACAAAGGATCCTACCGAAAATAATTTTTAAAAATATGTATTTTATTAAAAGGAACGGATGGTTATTGCTGTATGGAGGTGTGTTAACAGGTTAAATTTACAAGTACAGTGATATACATTTATGTACAAATGCAGCTAGCATCGAAATTTTTTTCAGGTAGCTCAACATGCCAAATTGACAGTAGTGTATTTGGTCACATTTTTATCTTATCATAATGTTTACAGTACTGTAATAGATAATTTTCTTCTTAAGTTCTTTCCTAATTTTGGGCTACCAAGTTTTGCATTCGGACAAGTCAAAGTTTGAGATCACTTGCCCGAAGGGCAAGTGAATCTGAAAGTTAATGTCTATCCCTGCCATGTGCAAAAATCTGGAAGGGCAGTGCTCCATGACTCAGTTAAGAACATATTGTGAGGAAGTCAGACTGCATGCATCCATATGTAAAACAAAAACAGTTTTACTACAGGATCAAATACTAATTGCACAGATGCAGATGTGTCATATGACTAGGGATGGGTATCGCCAAAAATTTCGTATCGCGATATATCACGATTTTTCCCCAAAATATCACAATAATATCATGATATTTTTACAAGCAAATTTACAATGATTTTAGATGAATATTCATATTTTTTTCCGAAAAATATGCTGGAAAATCATAACTTCACTTTTTTCCTTTTTTCTTTACGTAAGATCAAGCAATTATGGATACTAGGATGCCGTTCTTTTACCGTTTTCAACATTTTTTACACTTCCTGTAATTGTAATTTGAAAGACTGAATGAAAAATGAATAATTTCTGGAATTTTTAACAATGTACCTAAATACCGGTATTTTAGTCTCCGTATCACGTTACGTATCAATGCAATTAAAAATCACGATATACTGGTATACCGATAAAATCGCACATCCCTACATATGACAATATATTGACAGAACAGAAGGATTCATAGAAATTTAATTCTCAAAATTAAAAATTAGCCTTGCTAAATAAATCTATTGGAATAATGAAATGAACATGTGTCACTTTACTTTACACACTTTTAGGGGGCTAGTAAAAAGTGATTCGGACCAGTAAAATTTTGCCATTAATAGCCCGACTGGGCTAGTGCTGAAAAAGTTTTTGGCATAAATTGATTTTGATGGTTTTTAACCCCAAACCTCAGGTCCCAGGGGGACAGGGACCAAAAATTATTTTTTCCCTTTACTCATAGATGCTGTATGCCAAAATTGGTTGAAATTGGTTCAGCGATTCCAGAAAAGCTAAAAATGTTCAAATGTTAACACACATGACATACAACTTATGACAAACAAACTGACAGATGAACACAGCAACAAGTCACCAGAGTGACTTCTAAAGGTGACCTAACAACCAGGGGGGCTGGGAAGGGGGGAGGGGTAGGAGTTTCCTCTGAATGATCTTAAATGTTGAAAACTCCTAAAATTTTAAAGTTAATGTTGAGCCCTGAGTTACAGACATGTTGTGATAAAGTTTTATAGTATATCCATGTGCAAAAATATGGAAGGGCAGTGCTCCATGACTCAGTTAAGAACATATTGTGAGGAAGTCAGACTGCATGCATCCATATGTAAAACAAAAACAGTTTTACTACAAGTACATGAGGATCAAATACTAATTGCACAGATGCAGACGTGTCACATGACAATAAATTGACAGAACAGAAGAATTCATAGAAATTTAATTCTCAAAATTAAAAATTAACCTTGCTAAATAAATCTATTGGAATGAAATGAACATGTGTCACTTTATTTTGCACACTTTCAAGGGGGCTAGTAAAAAAATGATTCGGGCCAGTAAAATTTTGCCATTTCTAGCCTGACTGAGCTAGTGCTGAAAAAGTTTTTCAGCATAAATTGATTTTGATGGTTTTTAACCTCAAACCTCAGACCCCAGGAAGGAAGGGACCAAAAAAATTCAAAAATTATTGTTTCCCTTTACCCATAGATGCTGAATGCCTAAATTGGTTGAAATTGGTTCAGCAATTCCAGAAAAGCTGAAAGTGCTCAAATGTTAACGCACATGACACACAACTTAGGCCACAGTTTTTTTTTTCTTTTAGTTTACGATTCCACCAACCCTAATTTTCACCAATCATGAAAATAAAAATAATGTCTTTGTTCCGACATATTTTTCTGGATTTTTCTCAGCTGAACTGGTGGGTTTTAAATTTTAGAATGCATCATAGTCAAATAAGCGCTTATAAATATATGAGACCTTTAAAAATTTTAACATTTAGGTGACCGTAAATAAACACATGTGCAAACCAAAAATGGCGGATCTGTCATACAACAAGGTAAGTCTTCACTGAAAGCAATGACACACACTTAAAAAACTTTTTCTGCATGAAAAAGTGAATAAAATCTTGGATGCATGATCCCTTTCTCCAATTGCAATGTCTCAATTGGCTAATTTCAAACTGTAATATTGGAGAGTGCATGCCCACCCTGACCTAGCAGACATGGATACACCTATAGACAATAGTTAGGCCAATTTTGGTGTTAAGAAATACATCTTAGTTGAAGTAACGCTGACTGTTATTTCACTAGGTAAATTCAAATATGTATAAAATATTTGTTAATGTATAGAAGTACATTCAATATACAAATCATTGCAAATTTGATATTCAATTGAGATCAAAGCCCTTTAAATTTAATACTATTTGTAAATAATGAGCATTGCCTACTGTGCAGGTACATAACAAAAATTTAGAGAAGGACTTGACTGAGAAATTATTAAGCTTTTGTCTGCAGGTTGAACAAATTTGATAGCTGCATGATCAAATTATTATAACCTTTATTTCAACAATTACTTTTAATATTGTTAAACAATTAAATTGTATTTTTCTTCAATCTAAATTCAACTTAAATTTGGACTCTTATTTTTAGTTTGTGGGGATACCGAGGTTTATTACAGTCATCACATATCACTGAAGAGCACATGAAGAAGTTGAACATCATGAACCAGGCACTAACTGACAAATAAAAATCAGAACTAAATGAAAATGACATTCAGTCTAAACTTAGAAATGAATGAAAATGAAATAAATAGAGTTATGCGATCTAGAAAATAAAGCTCAAAAGTACTATTGGCATGTAATATTTTATTAAAATCAACATTGCTAGTATTTTAAAATGAAATTGTTTAATCCTAAATTATTTTTATTTTATTTTTTGACCACCCAATGCATTTTTTGGAGACAGAAAATCATAAACCAAAAAAAAAAACTTTGGCCTTATGACAAACAATGACAGATGAAAACAGATAGCAACAAGGCACCCGAATGACTTCTAAAGGTGAACTAACAACCAGGGGGGCTGGGGAGGGGGAGAGGGTTAGGAGTTTTCTCTGCATGATCTTAAATGTTGAAAACTCCTAAAATTTGTGAATTTTAACTCCACTTCCCACCTGTCATCATTACTTACACCTTCTCACAACATGCATGTTTTAGCTCAATGGCCCTGAGTGCCGAGTATAGGTCAAAATTTGCAGCTCTCCCCCGGCAAGTGGTGGCGTCTCCATATGAGTGAAAAATTCTTAAGAGGGACGTTAAACAACAATAAACAAACAAACATGCATGTTTTTAAGTCAATAGATCATGGACTTTTTAGTCATTTTCCTAGCCCTCCCTTGAATCAGGAATGGTGATATAAATATTTTAAGATTGTAAAGAGATAAAAAATACATTTTGAAAAAGATTAATGACTTATCATTTTAAAGCCTCATTTGGTCGTACATGTATATTCTTTCTTTTGAAGATGAGTTAAAAACAATCATGTAACATGCTTTTCCTCAAAGCTATATATTCCATGGGGAAATCAGGCGCGGATCCAGTAATTTTTTCCAAGGTGGTCCACCCCAGTCAAAAAATTTTCTCCCAGAAATATCTTGACAAGCAAAAAATAAATAAATAAATAATCTAAACTCCTTTCCCGAACATATCAAACCCAGAAAATTTCTTGACAAAAAAAAAACAACAAACAAACAAACAAAAACACAATAAACAAAAAAAAAAATAAATAAATAAAATCCCTTTCCCCGTCGTAAAAAAAAACTATTTCGTGTTAATGGTGGTGCTGACCACGTTTTCCGAGGGGGGGGGGGTCCAAAGTCATTTTCATTTGCTCCAGTATATACTTTCAATGACTGCAAATTCCAGGGGGTCACCTGACCCCCCCTTTCTAGATCCGCGCATGGGAAATGAATTGAAATAATATATAATAAAAACTTTGATGAAAAGGTAGGTAGGATAAAGCGTGATTGGGAACAATTATCTGTTCACGAAAACAAGAGACCTTCCGGCATATCTTTCTGTTGTAGCAAGATCGATATTTTATCATGTGTATAGAAAACACCGAATAAACCCCTAATAAAATACAAATACTGACCCATTCCAAAAAGCTCCGACATAACCCCATGCCAATTCGTGATATGAGTCTTCCTGCCTTGATCATCTTGACATAATTCCATTTTTTCACATTAAAAAGGAAGATTCGTACAACTGATTCAACATTGTTAATAAAACGTTAAAATCCATGTTCAGAACGAAAGGTGGTGTCAACACTCGCACAGGTAAAATCTATATAAATTAACAATAGCGCCCCACGAGTAAGACACGTCACGTGACTGGAGGTTTAGAAAGAAAAATTAACATATTGACACAGTGTAGTGGAGTGTGTGCATCTACAATATTGCACATTCCAACGGATTTTTGTTGACAATACAGAGAAAGTAGATTGTTAAAATGTCTGTATATCTCGGTCGTTTCTGAAGGCAGGTGTCGAAATCTTCAGTGGGACTATTGTTAATAATGAGCATATAATCGATTGACCTATGGCGGATTTTACATTTGAGACCGATTATTGATTGTTATATTAAGAGACCAATGAAGTTCTTCTAACACAATCTAAGCGGACCTTAGTTATAAAAAAGCATTTGTTTATAATTTCGACCGCATACTTATTTTCAAAAATATCGGAAATCGGAAACAATTGAACAGCAGCAATTATTGAACATAAGAGTTAAAAATATATTATGAAATATTGTTATTGACATTCCCATGTGTTCTAATAATCAAGAACTCTGTGTTTCAGTCCTTTTTTGTTTTAAATACATGTACAACTATATCATGCAGGGACCTATATACCATATAATACTACATTAGTTTAATTTTAAGTTCCTGTATCGTGTAAATGTCGTCAGTAGAAGTGGAATTGTTCTGTCACCAGTGGAAACAAGCAAATTCAAAGATTTGTTGTCCCCCGCTTTCGGTGTCTTAGTGGTTGGGATGCAAATTTGGCATGTTGTAACTGTCTTGTTTGTGGGCCCTTCGAATTACTACATTGTAGATCAAGGTCATGAAGTCAAATATGAGGTATTGTCATAGGTAATGTACATGCAAAATATGAAAGCGCTATCTTCTCTTATTAAAAAAATCTTACAAATCTAAAAAAAAAATGAAAAAGACTGTAGCTTACACTTGGAGGTCGAGGCCACTCAGGTCACAAACCAGAGTACATTCAGAAAGTTTTTGAAACAGGTAATGCACATATCAAGTATAAATTTCTTATCTGCAGCCATTTAAAAGCTATTAGCAATGTTAAAATTGTTGAAAATTAGGTCAAACTTCACGGTCAAGGTCATGTGGTTAAAAATCATAGTGCATTTGGAAAGGTCTTCTCACAGGTAATGCACATGTCAAATATGAATCCCGTATCTTCTCCTTCAAAAGTTAGCAGCAATGATACATTGTAAAATTTTTGAAAAGTAGGTCAAGGTCACACGGTCAAATATCAAAGCTCCTTCGGAAACTTTTTGAAACTTCTGTCACAAGTAATGTACTTGTAAAATAAGAAAGCCCTATCTCGTTTCAAACAAAAGTTACGACAAAGGAAAAAGTAAATGTTTGTTGTTGTTTTTTTTTTTTTGAAAAGTAGGTCAAACTTCAAGGTCAAGGTCACAGAATTCAAAATTTTAGTATATTTGGAAAGGTCCTGTCACAGGTAATGTACATGTGAAGTATGAAAACCCTATCTTTTCACATTCAAAAGTTATGACCAAGGTTAAAGGTGTTGTGACAGACAGATTGACAGACGAATAAGATTTGATGTCCCCTAACTTTCGCGAAAGCGGGGTCCGCGCATGTGCGCCATTTCATCTAGTTATACTGTATTTCTTAAATCAAAATTATTTTTGATTTAAGAAATAAAGTATTTTATATAAGATGTAAAGATTTAAATACAAGTTAATTCAAATCATGACCCTCGGAAATATAGATTCGGGCCACAGTAGAATATCAAAGTTTTACATGGGAATATGATTAGGAAATATTAATATGGAAGCATATTCAGGTAGTGTAGATTCAAGTTTCTTCAAATCATGACCCCCAGAGTTGGGCGAGGCCACGAAAGGTGATTAGTGTTTTACATAGAAATATACATGTACAATAAAATAATCTCAAGAATATTAGTCATATTAATTAATATAAGCCATTCTTAAGTAGTATTGATTATAATTTGTTCAATTATGACATGGAGCGGTATTTTACAAAATTAGGCGATCAAAGTTTTACATAGGAATGTATAGGAAAACCTATAAATACCTTTAAAAACCTTCTCCAAAAGATATTGCTGATTGAAGTAAATTCAAAAATATTTAAAACCAAATTTGATCGATGTATTTAATTATATAATAATTACTTTCTCCAAATTAAACAGAGCTTATATCTTTATTTTATCTGTAAATTAATCAAAATAAAAATCACTATCTTTTTTCATAATAATGTTTATTTCTCACAAAGGTTCAATACTTTGAACGATGACGTCACAACTGAAAAAAAAAATTACGAGAATTTGAAGACGGCGCGGTGTGTAAGCAGATAACGGGGATTAATGGATATTGTATGTGATTTTTTGGAAATAAGATGGATTTTTCAGGTCTGTTGATTTTATTTTCATCACTTATTTTTTCCAATGAAAACAACCAGTCGTGCCCCTAAGACTCTATTCGGTGTGTTCCCGTTTTGCACACATTTGATAATAAGATATAGAACAATAGGTCTGGGATATGTTTTGATAGCAATTATAGTCTGATCTCTGTTTGGGATTTACCTGGAATTACCTGTATTTCACCAATGCATCATAATATATATTTAAAAGAATAAAGTTTGAAAATTTAACTTGTTCGATCCAATCGAAGTTGATAAATCGTTATCGCAGTCCCCCTTTTTTTATTTCATGAAGATGATATGAATGAGTTAATGAATTCAATCTTAATTGAAAAAAAAAAATTAACATGCCCAGTCAGTATCATATGAATGTACGTTGTAATTACAGTTTTGATTAGTATTTATGATATTTTTTTATGTTTTGAAATAGTTTTTTTTTCTCTTATTATGAAATTACATAAATAAATCAAAATAAAAAAAAACTAGAGCCGAGCTCGTTTCAGAGCAACGAATAGGTCTTCCGTGGGAGCAGTGACTTTGAGTCAAGGTCATGCCATATTCTAAGATGATAAATAATCTTGTAAGGGACCTATCAACTTGCGATGTTTCGCCAGTAGAAAGACAATAAAATAATGTACACTTTCTCTTTCGTGACCTTGAACTTGTCCAGATGAACGTGCGTCAAGCCATGACACACTCTGGTTATGACGCAAACCTATCTGTGTTACCGACTTGACAAGTTCACACATGTTTTTTCAGACCACACATCCAGTAAAAGCATTTTGTTCTTAGTGACCTTGAACTTGAGTCAAGGCCATGACACAGTCTGTGTGATACCAACAATACCCTTCTGAGTGTTTCCGACTTGACGAATTTACATTTAATTTGAATAGATTTATTATAAATAATTATTTATAAATTAATTAAGTACATGATTTCAACAGTCTTTCAAAAGAGACTTCAGTCAATCATATCCGCAAACGTCAGTGTACACCATCCATTTTGGAATACTGATCCCGTTGTATTTTCATAGTACTTAAATTTCAGTTTTTGCATCCTCACAATGTCAAGGTTTTGTGATTTCGGAACTCCACACAAACCCTTGACATAAGTCGTTATTTAAAAGTTGGGTTTGTGGTTACACATGACGTAATGGGTAATTATAAACTAACCAATGAGAATATATTTTTCAAATCCGTCGTTATCAAATTGCCCAACTCCAGAGCATATCTTTTGTGATTGTAAGGTGGACGATCTTCAAAAAATTAATCCACGATGTTTCATTTAAAGTAACTAGTCACAAATCCTACAGTATTGACACTTATCATTTTAAAGACGAGTAATATTTGTTTTCAAAACTTAACTACAATAAAAGCTGTTTTCTAATTGGTTCCAGTCCTACACCAGGAACAAATGAAATCGTAGCTTTCTAGCCCAACTTTTAAAAATAACGACTTATGTCAAGGGTTTGTGTGGAGTTCCGAAATCACAAAACCTTCACATTGTGAGGATGCAGTTTTTGTGGTTTCTTTATTTCATACAGTGTCAAAATACATTGTCATGAGCTCATAAACATGTATAAATATTAATTATAAAAACCCCTGCCTCTCTAATTTCAAAAGACATCAGTTAAATTTAACCCTCCGCAGTATATTTTGCAAAATAGGTCAAAGGTCAAGGTCAAGTGGACTGTAACGCTGGTATTTTTCAAAATGTTTTATGACAAACAGTGCACATTCTAAATAGCATAGACTTACCTCTTAAATATCAAAAAGAAGTTGTATACCGGCATTATTGGTTATTTTGAAAAGTAGGTCAAAGGTCGAGTTCAAGGATATATAGGTCGGAAGCCATGGTAAAATACAAAAGCCATAGTGTCAAGCTATATGTACAAATTATCAAATCCATACCTCTAACAGTTCTCGAGATACATGTATAAGGTGTGACAGACGGACGGACAGCAAGACAGACAGACAGACGCCAGGCAAATTGATCGCTAAGTGCTGCTCTGCTCTGCAGGCGACACAATAATGTTTATTTGATTGTCTGTTTGTTGTTTAAGTCCATTGAGCTGCCAGGATTTGCCAGTGGAGGGCTGCAAATTTAGGCCTGTACTCGGCACTTGCGGCCTTTGAGCAGCGGGTGATCTTTTTTCATGCCAGAACCTACACGAGACCTCGTTTATACGGTCTAATCCGAAGGACCATACTCCATGCTCTGTAGTGAAATTGTTTGTTTGTTTGTGTGTTGTTTAACGTCCTTCTCCAGATTTTTCACTAATATGGAAACGCCACCACTTGCCGGTCAGAACAAATGGAAACGTCATCACTTGCCAGTGGAGGGCTGCAAATTCAGACCTATACTCGACACTCAAGGCCATTGAGCAGTGAGGGATCTTTTTCATGCCAGCACCTACTGCTACACGGGACCTCGGTTTATACGGTCTCATCCGAAGGACAAGTCTTCACGTCCCGTAGTGGAATTGTTTGTTTGTTTGTGTGTTGTTTTACGTCCCTTTCGAGATTTTTCACTGTTAAGAAGTTCCTTATAAGTTGTGAATGTTATG